CGGTTCTGCCGAGGTGCAGTCCTCAGCCGGGAGAAGCTGCTGGTGCCCGGTGCGGGATCTCCAAGTTGATTCTTGACTCTCAAGCAGCCTCACCTGTGGGGGCCATCATCCCACATGCCCTAGGCCAACCTCTGGTTCCCAGATTTACCAAATAAAAATACAGGATGGCCCAGTTAAAATTGAATTTCAGATTTAAAAAAAAATATTTTTTTTTAGGCATACGTATATCTCATGCAATATTTGGGACATACATATTATAAAAAATTATTCATCTAAAATTAAAAACTGGGCGCCTTGTATTTTATCTGGCAGCCTACCCCAAACATGTCCCCAGCTTCATCCCCAGGTGCCTGGCCAGCCCCAGACAGGACCTGGAAGGCGCCCCCCGCCGCCGCCGCAGCCGCCGCCGCCAGGAAATAGGCTCCTCCCCACGTTCGGCTCTACACTAAATATGCCAACTGCAGGAGCCTGGTTGGCTTTCTGGGCTCCAGCTGACAGGACAAGCTCTGGGGTTTTCATGGAGTGTTGCCAGCCGGAAGGAAGGTATTACTCCAGACTCCAGCTACTGGACTTCGGGCTGGTTCAGGGAGGGACGTGATGAGAGGGGCTTGAGCCCAACCTGATGATCTGGCAGCTAGTTCCTCAGGCAGCTGAAAGGAAACAGGTGAGAGAGATTCCTATGTGGCAAAGAGTTGCCCAAGGAGAAGGGTGGGACAGGGTGTTGGCTGCTTTCCTTCAGGGAAAATTCTTCCACTCCAGCTCCAAGAAGCTAGGATTGGACAGAACAGATGGGGGAGTTGGCAGAGTGCCCATCCAGTACACAGCCTTGGTGTTACTCCAAAGAACATGTCTGCTGAGACCTGAATCATAGCCTTGGCCAGTCCAGGGTCAGCGCTGTTGACCACCCTCCCCATCTCAGTTGCTCACAGGTGGACCTACTGGAGAGAGATGGGTTTTATTTCTGGAAAATTCATCATAAAACCATCTCAGACTTGGGGCAGTTCAGTCAGAGGAGCCTGCAACTCTTGATCTCGGGGGCATATGTTCGAACCCCAGGAAGTAGATATTACTGAAAAATAAAATCTAAAACAAAACCAAAAAAAACCTATCTCAGACTTGATAAGAGAGCTGGCATTCAGGGAATCATTGGAGTCCGCCTCTCCGCTTCACTCCCTTCTCTCTCAGGTGTTCCCTTTTAGGCAGAGGCGTTGTCAGGGGGAAGGGAACTAACATTGATTGAATGCATGTTGTCTGATACCACTGGCTCTTTACACAAGTTTTTTCGCCCTCGCGAGTATCTTGCAAGATACTTATTACCTTTACCATATTTACTATCCATCAGTGGAGAACCAAGGCCTGAGGATGGCTCTCTAAAATATTTCCTATAGAGAGTTCTGGCTCAGCAGGAAATGCCCCACCTTGAAAGTGGCATTGGAAATGAAGGGTGTAGGAACAGTTACCCATGTAGATGTACTTCAGATGAGTTGGTCATCCTGGTTTCCAGCCCTTGGCCTTGGAGTGAGCATCAGGGATAAACATGCAGGGAACACCCAACACCATCCTAGAGTTAGGGAGGCCTGACAGAGGTAGCCAGGGACACAGCCACCTTCTATACTGGAGGTAGGCAGAAGTAAGGAAAGGAGTCTTTGATATGAGGGCCTGCCAGCAAGTCTTCCATAGCATAAACCCTTGTAGTTAGGTAAGGTTTGATGCAGGCTTGACATTTGGTGGGCATCTGCTCTGGGCTAAGTGGCCTTAACTTTTTCTAATTTACCTTATGTAATCCTCCCAACATTGTATGGAAGGTGTTATCATTGCTTTATAAAAGATGAAGATGAGGTTCCAAGAAGAGGTTGTATGACAGTGAGTTGTAAATGGTGGGGCCAGAATCTGAAACAAACAAAATTTCTTAACACCACTTTCTACTCCCCTACAGCTACCCAGTGCATCTCTCATCTGGATGTGACTGTCTCAAAGTCCTGTAGTATGGGAACATTGACATTACTGTGAAAAAGCCAATACCACTCAAAAACAAAGGAGCCAATCAACTCAGATGGCCTCGTCTCCCACAAACTAAGGTTTGAATGAGCCACAGCTCCCAACCCTTCTCTAACCCATCAATGTGTGCTTAGGGTCTAGTAACTAATATACTATTGGACTCCACATTATTAAAATGGTTTTTACCCAGACCCCATCCTCAGAGCAATAGAATGTCAGAGCCAGAATGGACTGCAGAGGTTGTGAATTATTTTCAATAGCTGAAGAAATTTGAGGCCCAAAGAAATTAAATGACCTGGCCAACGTTAAGGTCACTCTTGTCAACCAGGTCAACCAAGGAGCTTTTGGATGCTGCTCTGGACATTTTTAGCCCTGGTGTTCAGGGTCTTATTATCAATGTCTTCAGGGGCCCAGTTATCCCCAGTCTCAGTGGCATATTAATTCTGCTTGCATTCCTTCCCCCACCTCAGGATTTAGATTACTGTTGCAAGTCTGCTTTGGACATTCTGTTTATTCTGAGAAGAAATACCCTGTCTGGATAGAAGAGACCCCATCTAAAGAGCCCCGGACTGATTCTGACCCAAACCCAAGGGTTTAAGTGGAACCAAAACATCCGAAGGAATGCTGCCAGGTGAACAGTGACATTTTAGGAACTGTTGAGCTTTCTTTCCCTTTTGAATGTGCCCTCTCTGTGCATATCATTCCTAGACACCTCTTAGGTCTACCTCGTTCTCAGGCTCCCCTAGAGCATTCAAAGGCCCTGAAAAGATTGACCAAAGGAACTTAAGTGGGAAATATCCCTGAGGTACCCCTTACTAGGTTGATGCAAAACTACATCCATTTGAGAATTTTTCTTTCCCCCTGGGAAACTAGTAAAAGAGGCTGTTTCCCATACATGCATCAGGAAAGGGTTAACCGTTTCTCTCGGGTCCTGAGCCAAGTCTGTCCCCTACCAGTTCCCATAACCGGGTTTCCTGAAATGGAGCAGGTCCCAGGTGCCTCTCCACTAATCACATCCTTGGAAATGGGGCCAGGAAGCTCAGATTAGCTCATCCCTTCACCTTCTTGAGGCCTTCTCCACCTGGAGCACAGAATCTGGGGCAGCTTCTCTACTCACCTCCCTCTGCTTCCCCAGCCAGGGTCAGACAGGGATGTTCTCACGGAGGTATGTTAGGTTGTGGGGGCACTAGACGCCACAGTGGTGCTAACTCTTGTGCCAATTCTTGGACTACAGCATTTGTCCTTCCTCATTCTAATACTTATGGGCAAAGGAAAGATTCTCCCCCAAGACAATACTAGAGTTTGTATAACTAGAGTATTTTTTCTTCACCCCTCTTCTCTGTTTTCTTCCTCTACTTCTTAGAATGACTGACTATGATACCAGATAGCTTCCTGTTTTTCCTGGCTGACAATCCTCCTGTGTACAGAGTCTGATTCCTCATCCATCAGTAGCAGGTTCTGGGGCCAACCCAGGAGATTTCATTCCTTCCCTGTTAGTGTCTAATTTCGACTCTTCCTTGATAACCAATAAAATCTGTATCACAAAGCTTGTTCTCTCTAATTGGCTTTTTAACTTTCTCTCTAGGCAGGTCTGGATTTGTCCCACTAGCTGATGTCCACTGTAAGGGAGGTATTCTTTGTGCCATAGAAGCCTTGGAAATGGAAACAGCAGTGTAATCTGGTCACACATGACTGAGTAAACCTATTGATCCAAAGGCCAAATGATCAATTTTGTTTGAAAGACAAGTAGGCTAACTGGGAAAAAAAGATTCTTCTTCTAGGAGCCCCATTCAAGAGCACACTGGCTCCACATGTTTAGTCTTAGTTCTGTCTTTGTATAACTATAGTACTCGAAGGACTTGACCAGGGATGTTGGTGTAGTCTTTAAAGCTAGTAATATGGAGCCTTGGTGGAGCTGATTCTCCACTGACCTCTGAAGTTGACTTGATTTCATCCATTCTAGCTTTAAGGCCACTACTATCTTCTGGTTCTGCAACTTCCCTTCTCACCAGCTAAAAAGAAGCTATGGGATCAAAAGTCTAAAAGGGTGAGGATATCTGAAATTTTTCCTATTTTACCACTCACTTTCAGTGTTATGTTTCAGTTTTCCTCAACTAAAATAGGAAAATTATCCCAGGAATATAGTTAAAATAACATGTGTGAAACAATTTGAGAGTCTTAGACTCTTTTTTTTTCAAGATTTTTTTTAATTTTTAAGTAATTATACCCAACATGGGGTTCGAACTTACAACCCCAAGGTCGACAGTTGCATGCTCTACCTGAGCCAGCCAGGCACCCCTAGAATCTTTAAATTAGAGGAAATCTTAGAAGTCATTTAACCTGGTATTTCCCAACCAGAGGAATAATTTTTTTTTTCCCAATTCATTTCCTTTATCCCCAACCCTCCTCCTGAAAAGCTTCTCTCTTCCTTCTTCCTCAACCCCTCCTGGTATCCAAGGTAGAGAACTGATCTAGTTTGCACAACATATTTCATGTGCTTAGGGTTGTGAAACAGTGCCCTAATTCAGCTCCCTATTTCATGCAATAGTCATTCCAACAGTCCCAACAAGTTGATATCTCGCTTTTACTTGAGTAACTCATGTTGGGAAAGTTGCCACCTCAGGCAACCCATTCCAGTTTTGGACAGCAGTGGTTTGGTAGGGAGTTTTTCATTATTTGAACTGGAACTCCCCCACTGTATCTTCCACCCGTTGGTCCCAGCTCTGCCCTTTGAAACCACAGGGAAGTCGTCTAATCCCTTTATAAAGGGCAGAAGGGAATACCCAGGATTGTTATTGTTAACCTGTCACAGTAGTTCAGACCTGACCTGAATGATTGTATTACAGATGTCCTGTGCTTTGTACACTAGCTATGTTCCTAACACATTGTGTAAATCTAGTTGTGTGTGAATCAAATCATTTTAGACACACTGAGATGTTGACTGTCTAAAAGAAACCCTGTTACCTGTCCTTTCATAAACTGAAGAACTTTGTTGTAATGCAAAGAACCTCCCCATTAAACTTTTCTGCAAATCTAGATTTTTCATACATCATGTTTTACTTAAGGCAAGATTTGCCTGCATACAAAACACGCAAAACAATGACAACAGCAACAGCTGACATTTCACTGAGCCCTTATCTGCACCTGACATGCATTATTTAATTTCTTACCACCACTCCTTGAAAATGGTCCCCTATTTACAGATGAGGAAACCAAGGCTTAAAGAAGTTAAATAACTTATCCAAGTTTACACAATTAGAAAGTGATGGGCCAGGATTCCAACAAGGTCATAGGACTCCAGAATCTTGTGTCTTAACCACCAGGAAGTTTCAGATGCCAATTATAATTGAAATAACTGGCTACTTAGCTGTGTACCTCAGCACAAGTAAATCAGGCTGCAATACAGAAAACTGACCTAAGATTGTTGCAGGTTAAAAGATGTTCACTAAATTGACTCATTTTTGGGTTCTGGCACCCAAAATCCACTCTTTGTAGGTTTCCTGCACAACTCACATTTTTCAGTGCAGTTTGATCAAGGAGCTCCAAAGACTTCCCTTCAGCTGTTAGTATGAAGCAGATGCTGCCAAAATTTATTTCAGGCAGAAGGGTGTGATCAGACACTTTTTCACAGGATTTGTGTATTCCCAGGGGTATGTGGCATAAGCTTCTTAAAAGAAAGAAGTGGTTCATTATTGACAGGGACAATCAAAAGTATTGGCACCCTGGTTGATCCCAGTCTGCTCCCAGATGGGTTGAAATCGTTCAAATGTGTTTTTAGGTCCTGTTTTTAATGGTGTTTAGGTTTGCAAGATAAAAATAATTTGGGAGGAATGGTCCATAAATAAAGTGCTGTTTTGAATTCAAACTGGACAAAGATAAATGGATGTAATAGTCTTGTGTCTTCAAGTCAGTTCCAGTTTCTCCGATTTTAGTCAACAACAGCGAGCACTCACAACATTGCTCAGCTCAGAGCACACCCCTCAGGGCTCCTAGAATCTCAGACTTTTCTACACTAAATAAGGGAGCTCTGGGTAGTACTCTTCTGTCCTCTGTGCCCCTCCCCCACCTGCCCCAGCATCAGAATGCCCCGTTTGACATGAGACTTTATCTTGGCTCATCTGCAGACTTTTGCTTTCAAGTACATGATCATTCTTTGCAAATCTCATCCCTAGCAGATATTACACAGGCCTCCTGGTCCACAGCCATCAGGAATCAGGTCAGTCCTTGCAAGGCACCAGAACTCTCCTTGCAAGTCTACCTTTCTGACCTTTACTTTGTACACCAGGCTTGTTTATAACCTCAAGTCATAGACCCAGGTGAAGAAATACACAATTTTCTTTATCTCTTAACCTAGCTCTTCAGCCCCCATTTCCACTAATGGCAGAAAACTAATGAACTTTGCCAATTCCGGACAACTCAATCATTTCAAGTTTTAAACTCAGTCTCTCAGGAGTCTCCTTCCTTCTCGTCACAATGTGCTAGTTGGGGGTTCACATATCATTCTGACATCAGGGAAGGGCACCAAGGTCAGGTGCCATCTTCTGTTCCTCTTGCCTTACTTGGTCTTGGTCATTGGACTCTATCACCACTGCATCTGTTGCAGAGTTCCCTGGTGGGTGGGACCTGCAGCCTTGATATAGAAAGACACAGTGTCTGCTTCACAAGGAGCTCGGTGGCTCCCATCTCAGCTCTTCCTGGTACTACTGAGCCTCCATCCGGCTCCTGGCATGGGTCATGCAGCCCTCAGGCTCTACTGTGGGCTTCATCCCTACCCCCCCCCCCCGCCCACTCCACAGCAATCCCCACGGGCACCCAGCTCTCAGCTCACCTTCACACTCCTCTCGGGAGCTAGGCACCAAGGCACTTTTCAGATCTCCTCCAAATGTCAAGGAGCCAAGAAGACTTGGCTTAGGGAGTGAGAAGGTTTGTGGGTAGTGAGGAAATGTGACTTATCTCAGCCCTGCTTTGCCTACACGGGTGACAATGCCATTTCTACTCTGTGGCAGTTGTCCCTTGGTAACACAGGGGGCTTTGAAATGCTGTGTCTCCTCAGAGTTCTAGGAATGGAATGAAGCATAAGCCTCATCTGTCTACTGTTGTTTGGTGGTGAGCACAGAAAACAGAGCCCAAGGTGCATCTAAACCCTCTTTCCTCTTTTCTCAGTCTTTTCCAATTCTGCTCCAGGCTCAGAAAGGATTATACTTCTGTGTGGAGGGGAAACCCCCAGGCCCTTTGCATTTCAACAGTTAATGGCATAAACTCTAAGTTTTAGGTTTGTCAAGTTCTGTCTCTTAATGTTTAAAAAAAAAACCTGTGGGGGCGCCTGGGTGGCGCAGTCGGTTAAGCGTCCGACTTCAGCCAGGTCACGATCTCGCGGTCCGTGAGTTCGAGCCCCGCGTCAGGCTCTGGGCTGATGGCTCAGAACCTGGAGCCTGTTTCCGATTCTGTGTCTCCCTCTCTCTCTGCCCCTCCCCCGTTCATGCTCTGTCTCTCTCTGTCCCAAAAATAAATAAACGTTGAAAAAAAAAATTAAAAAAAAAAAAAAAAAAAACCTGTGAAAGAAAAAAAAAAATCCGTCTCAAGGACCCAGCCCTTACAATTTAAAAACTGGAGCCTCCAAGAGTATCTCCTCTGCAACATAGGAAACAACAGGAGTTGGCAAGGATGTGGAGAAAGGAGAACACTCTTACATTGTTGGTGGCAATGCAAACTGGTGCAGCCACTGTGGAAAACGATACAGAGATTCCTCAAAAAGTTAAAAATAGAACTACCCTACGACCCAGCAATTGCACTACTAGGTATTTACCCAAAGGATACGAAAATACTTATTCAAAGGGAAACATGCACCCCAATGATAAATTTATAGCAGCATTATCCACAATAGCCAAATTATGGAAATGATTTCACTCATAGGTGGAATTTAAGAAACAAAACAAATGGGGGCGCCTGGGTGGCTCAGTTGGTTAGGCGTCCAACTTTGGCTCAGGTCACGATCTCACAGTTTGTGAGTTTAAGCCCTGCCTCGGGCTCTGTGCTGACAGCTCAGGGCCTGGATCCTGCTTTGGATTCTCTGTCTCCTTCTCTCTCTGCCTCTCCCCCACTTGTGCTCTGTCTCTCTCTGTCTCTCAAAAATAAATAAATGTAAAAAAAAAATTAAAAAAAAAAAACAAATGAACATGGGGAGGGGAAAGAGAGGTAAACCAAGAAATCGACTCTTAACTATAGAGAACAAACTGATGGTTATAGGAGGGGAGGTGGACAGGGCATAGGTTAAATGGGTGATGGGGATTATGACGAGCACTGGGTATTGTATGTAAGTGTTGAATCACTAAATTCTACATCCAAAACTAGTATTACACTGTATGTTAACTAACTGGAATTTAAATAAAAACTTGGAGGAAAAAGAAAACATCTCCTCTGGGATAGATTTGAAAAGATCTAGTTAAGAATTCAAAAGCCCAAGACTTTGACTCTGATCTTTCTGTATCATCCCTGTGCAGAGGATGCTGCATCTAGAAAGCCTTGCTGCTGCTTAATGATGGGAGATAAATTCAGGGTAAAAGAAACGGAAAATGCATTGCTTGATATGAAAACATCTAGTTTTATCTTTTTATAACAAGGAATCACCTTCTCTCCCAAAATCTTTTCTGTCACTCATTAATATATTGCACAAATATATACATGTCTGCTCTAGTAGGGAAAGACTAGGAACTGGATGTGCTCTCTACTTTCACAGAGTTCACGATCTAAGAGGGAACACAACCAATGGGCAGTGACCATCCCGTAGAGTGCTGTCTGAAGGCCCCTGTCTCAGACTTGGAGACCCTGGGAGGTTTTCTGGAGGAAATGACACCTAGATTTAGACCTAAAGAGTAAATCCTCGGTGAATGGAAAAGAAAAAGTTTCCAACCAAATCAAATACCATGTTCAAAATCCTACAAATGCTGGAAAAACTCCCAACAGATTCCTTATGTCTAGGAGCGTCAAGTGAGGAGTGGTGAGCAAAGGGGACTGGAGAGGTAAGCAAGGTGTATAAACTCTGTTAAGAATTCTGGACTTTATCCCAAAGGCTTTGGGGAGCCACTGAAGGGTTTTCAGCAGAGAAGTGATCTGTCAGATTGTTGTATTAAAAAGACGTTCTGGAGGCGCCTGGGTGGCTGTTGGTTAAGCGTCAGACTTAGGCTCAGCTCACGGTCTCACGGTTTATGAGTTTGAGCCCCACTTCAGGCTCTGTGCTGACAGCTCAGCCTGCCTCTCTCTCTCTTTCTCTCTCTCTCTCCCTCTCTCTCTCTCTCTCTCTCTCTCTGCCCCTCTCCCGCTCACTCTCTCCCTTTCTTTCTCTCTCTCTCAAAAATAAATAAAAACATTAAAAATAAAAAATAAAAGACTGACTACAGAGTGGTAGATAAGGTGGCCCAGGAAGAACACATAGAATGAGAAAAGGGCCTAGGAGAAAACAACGCAATTAAGTGACGAGCAGAAAGGAACTCACAAAAGAAAAAAGGGAGAGACTACAGGGGTTGAAGGAAAACCAGGAGTGGGGCAATCCTAAACCAAAGGAAGAAAATTTCAAGAAGCAGGCATAATGAGAGTCAACCACTGCCAAGAGGAACAGTAAGAAAGCAATTGGAAATTAACATCAGATTTAGCAAGTAGATTACTGAGGACCTTGTTTGAAAGCAGCTGCAGAGGAATAGAAATTATATTGCGTTGGACTAAATCAATTGCCTCAGTGCTCATTGTCTCCTTCACTCACAATCTGTCTCTGCACTCGTGTCTTCCAAATGTGTATAAGTCTAGATCTCCACTTTGAGCCTCATAACAATCAACTACTCAGTATGTCCACTTGATTGTTTCAAAGGTATCTCAAACCCAGCAGGTTCCAAGACCTACACTCTCCCCACCCAAACCTGGTCTTCCTCCAGTGTGCCTCATCTCAGCAAATGGTACCTTTGGTCTTCCAGCTGCACAATCCTCCCATAACAAACCCTTTCCTCACCCTGTATCTAACCCATTGTCCCATCTTGTCAATTCTTTCTACCTATGTGTTCCTCTATCTCCACTGCCAACATTCAAGTTCAAGCTACCATCTTCTGTCTCATCTAAACCACAGTGGTAGCCTCCTCATTGGTTTCTCACATCAACTTTCACACCCCTCCAACCCATTCCCCACACAGCACCTGGAGTAATCTTTTTATATTTCTTTAAGTGTTTATTTATTTTTGAGAGACAGAGAGAGAGAGAGGATGAGCAGAGGAGGGGAAAAGAGAGAAGGGGACAGAGAATCCAAAGTGGGCTCTGTGCTGGCAGCAGAGAGCCTGATGCAGGGCTCAAACTCACAAACCATGAGACCATGACCTGAGCCAAAGTTGGAGGCTTAACCATCTGAGCCACCCAAGCGCCCTGGAGTAATCTTTTTTTTTTTTTTTTAATTTTTTTTTCAACGTTTTTATTTATTTATGGGACAGACAGAGACAGAGCATGAACGGGGGAGGGGCAGAGAGAGAGGGAGACACAGAATCGGAAACAGGCTCCAGGCTCCGAGCCATCAGCCCAGAGCCTGACGCGGGGCTCGAACTCACGGACCGTGAGATCGTGACCTGGCTGAAGTCGGACGCTTAACCGACTGCGCCACCCAGGCGCCCCTGGAGTAATCTTTTTAAAAACATAGTTGATCATTTCACTTTTTTGCTTCAAATCCTTCAATAGTTTTTTCCAGGGCTCCAAAGGTGAAAAACAAAATTCTTTAAATGACCTAGAAAGCCCTGCACGATCTAGTCCTTGCCTATTTTCCCAGCCAGCATTCACCACACATTCCCTCTTGCCCACCGTTTTCCCTCCCTTCTCTCCGTTTCTCACGTGCACCATGAGACCTGCTGCTGCAGGCCTGGTGTCCACACACCGTGTCTCTGTAGCTAAGAACATGGTTCAAGTGTCAGACGTCTGGGTTGAAAATCCCAGCTCTACCCCAGCCTGGTTAAATGACCCTGGGCAAGGCACTTCGTCTCTCAATGTCTCCATTTTCTCTTCTGTGAAATGAGGTTAATACTTACTTGTCAGAGTTTTTACAAGAATGAAATGAAATGATATGTGGAAAGGGCTAAAAATATAGTCCCCAATTAGTGTTAGTTACCACTACTTGTTATCTCCCATTCTCAGCCTGGTTAACACTTCTCATATTTCAGATCTCAGCTCAAATGATGTGAGGGAGGTCTCCCTTGACACCCTCTCTCCAGCCAGGTTATGAATCTCTGTTAAATTCTCACCTAGCATCCTGAACTTTTAATTCATTATACTTTGTGATTATATATCTGAGGGGTTATTTTATTAATGTCTGTCAACCCTACCAGAATATAAGCTCCAAGAAGATAGAAATATCCCATTTTACTCATCATTAAATCCCCACATCCCAGCACAGTACCTGGCACATAAGCTAGATACTTTGTTTGTTTGTTTGTTTGTTTGTTTTGAAAGAGAGAGAGAGCACGCACACGCAAATGGGGGAAGGGCAGAGAGAGAGGGAGAAAGAATCCCAAGCAGGCTCCACACTATTGTGCAGAGCCCGATGCAGGGCTCAATGCGGGACTCAAACTCAGGAACTATAAGATCATGACCTGAGCTGAAATCAAGAGTTGGATACTTAACTGACTGAGCCACCCAGGTGCCCCACACCAGATGGTTTTTAAATAAATGTTTGATTAAAGGGGAGGCAAGGTAGTGGAGCCAATGTGTTCAAATCATTCAAGAAGATTGTGATCATAAAAAGTAAGGGCAAGACATGGAGGAGGACCAGGGTTTGTCACTTACTTTTTAAGCTGGCAGATACTTGAGCATGTTCAAATGCTAATGGGAAGGAGCGAGAAGAGAGGGAACTTACCAGAATGACTGGGAGCCATGAGACTGCAGGAGGGGATAGCACTTAGTGCAGGAGCCAGAAGAATCATTCTCAGATAGGAGAGACACATCTTCCATGCTACAGGAATGAAAGAAGAAAATTCAGCTACATCTGTAGACTTGGTGGCAGGAAGTGCTACCAAGACCTTTCTATGAATTTTGGTAACACAAGCAGCAAATCTGGATTCTCCAAAAAGCTCAGCATACTTGGTGGATTTCATTCCATGCACTTTTGCAACTCATGTAAAAAGGAAGCAGGTGGGTTGTTTTTTTTTTTTTCCTTCATCAATGACTACACTGATACACTACAGAGCAAAATGACAAGTCTCCAGAGCAACTGAGACCAACAATCTCAGCGTTTTCTTTATTGAGCATGCTTCCTCAATATTGGGAAACAGTATGGGAAAATGATAATGTTATAAAATAATAATGGCTGACACTGGTTGAGGGCTACTATGTGCCAGGTGCTATTCTAGTACTTTATCTACAATAACTCATTTGATCCCCACCTTATGATACCATTCTGCAGGTAAGGAAACTGAATTCCAGAGAGGTTAAGTAACTTGCCCAAGGTCATCAGCAAGTAGGTGGCAAAACTACTTTCAAACCCAAAGTCTGACTCCAAACTTGATGCTTTTTTTTTTTTTTTTTTTTTTTTTTTTTTTTTTGAGAAAGAGAGAAAGCAGAGGAGGGGGCAGAGGGAGAGAGAGAGAATCTTAAGCAGGCTCCATGCTCAGCACAGAGCCCAATGAAGGGCTTGATCCCATGGCCTCGGGATCATGACCTGAGCTGAAATCAAAAGTCAGATGCTCAACCCACTGAGTCACCCAGGCACCCCCAAAATTGATGCTTTTAACCACTCTACTCTCACTAGCAGAAGGGAAAGAACATACTAGGAATCAGAAACTCTGATGTCTCCACCATGAACTAACTCTGAACTTGGGCATTCATTTGCTCATCAACAAAATGAGAATGATAGTGTTTACCTTTACAATGCTTTTTAAAGGATTATGAAATGCTGAAAATGGGAAATACTATACAAAAGATCTTATGAGTATACTGATCATAAGACTTAATATCCTTGTCTTCTAATTGGGTCACAAGCCAATAGCCGTTGTTGAGACCCTTGGTTCCCATACCAGTACAGCAGCAGCAGTTTGGGTGTTCTGGTGTCTTTGGCAGATCAGCTGATTCTCATCCCATCAGCTTTAACATCCCTGGCCAGGTCTCCTTGATGACCCCTTCCCCCCGAACACACACCTACCCTTGGGAACAGTTGCAGCTTATGCTCTCACTTCTTTGATTCCATTGGCCAAAGGAGTGACTGTTAAAAAAAATAAGCAGTAAATAGCCTGAATGGCAGCTACTCGTGAGGTACACCCCAGAAGGTCAAGTTCCACTTTGGTGGTAGAACCACTGTTCCAGTTTAGTGGTGGAATCAGACTATCAGAGCTAGAAAAGAACTTCAAGGTCATGTTTTAGTGCAACTCCCTGACACCCCTCCTTACCCATTTTATACGAGGAAAACCAAGGTCAGGTAGGCGAGGTGATACAACCAGATGGGATTGGTAGCAGCACTTTTTTGTCCTTGAAAATGTTTTCAAATAATTTTAAAGCAAATAATTTCACCTTGCCAAAATCATAACTGGAAAGTACTTCAATCACTTATAAATTTGTTTTGGTACATGTACCTTTTCAGAGAGGAGCAAAATCCTAAAATTCCATTAACCATAAATAAATAAAACCTTAAACCCAATAACTCACGTGAAGCCCATGCTTCCCATTGCCCTTACTTGGTCATTTCAGGCATTTCCCAGGCGGAAACAGGCCCACATCTTCAGAGACAGCATAATCTGACAGTTAAATTCTCATTGCTCTGCACAAAGCCCAATCTATTATTACTAGTTCATCTCTGAGCTTAGTTTCCTAGTCTGGAAGAACAGTACCCACCTCCTAGAGCTGGAGTGGGGGGTGGGGGTGGGGGGGGTGTCACATGAGATAATGCACTTTTAGCACCCAGCTAGCACTCTATAACTTTATTATTATTTGAGCATAATTCTTTTCTCTCTCAAGCAGATAGTTCACCTTGCTTAATGACCTTAGACCTTCGACCACTCAGATGCTACTAAACCAAGGAGAAACCCAGCTGTGCCAGGCCTAGAAATGTCCATCCCCACCCCCACTCCCTTTTAAGACAGTGAGTAGGCCGGAATTCTCCTGGTTGATAAATGAGAGGAGCCGAGAAGGAGCAGAGAGAAGCTGCAGTGATGACTATTCTGAGAATCTGATCTGCGAGCAGGCGAATCTCCACCACATACACCATGGAGACGCTTTGGGAAAGAGAGCCGGCCTACCTGCCTGAAGAAGGATGCTCGAGAAAGGGGATGGACGACAGAATTGCTTAAAGGGAGATGAACTGGAGGTGCCCAAAGAGGAAAATTTGAAAAGGAAAACAGAGGCTGAATTTTGGGAAACCTGAGCGGTGAGTGTCATTAAAGGAAGGATTGCGTGTCTCGGGGAGACAGATTTTTTGGAGGAAACGAGGAGTAGGGACAAAGGTGGGGGTCCTCGAGCTGCGGAGCCCAAGCCGCGCAAGCTGTGGGGGATCTCCAGATGGCCCAGCGGTGACCGGAAGCCGACATTATGGGGGGCACCCACAGGGAAGGTGGCGGGGTCGGGAGCCGGCCGCACAGAAGCCGCCGCGTTCGCCCCGGGGAAGGTCAGCGACCCCCGGCCAGGGGACTGTGCGGAGGACTGAGAGGGGCCGCGGTTGCCATGGCGCCGGGCGGGGAGGGGGTGATTCGGGCCCCGCCCCGAGCCCCGCGGGGCCGCCGGCTCCAGATGGTCCCGGGCCTCCCGCGGGAGCCGGCGGCCTGCGGCAGGGGGAGGCTATTGTCCTCCTTCCG